GATGGCATTGGAATCTGTTATAGTATGACCATTTCCAACTCCCCGAGGCTACAGCCTCAAAAAGGTACCACTGTAAATCTGCAGTGATTAGATTGTCATGCAGAACTTTCATCCAACCCCATACATTTGTGTGCAGAACACATTCATGTTGAGGAAACTACTTGGGTCTATTCGTATTATATTACTCTCCTTTTCATTTCTTATCATGATAATATATTACAAGGAACTACAGACTGCTAATACCTGTTGAAAGAATTGTGCCATTCAACTTCAAAGTAGACTGGCATTCAGCTTTACTAGTACACTGTTGACAAAAAATTCCCACTGTTTTTCATTACATGATTTCACTGCTATAAAACCTTCCCTGGTAATCTTCATTCTATAGACCAAAGGTCAATCCCTTGGCCCTATAATTCCAATAAAAATGCTGCCCTGTGCCCCTAGAACTATTGACCAATTGAGGCTAAAATATCCTGGGTCCCATTTAAAGCAATTATCCATCTATCTACATGTAACCTGTAAAAGATAAATATTTTGAATTATGTTCAACGACTTGAAACTGCACCATACATAAGCACTATGTTCTATACATATGGTTACTATAACAATTGCAAAATTTCCAGTAGCAAATTTTGCTTCAACTGAAAAAATCTTTTGATGACCCCTGCACAACCATAGGGAACTCCTAGGTTACCTCAGTGTTGCATTGATATTTGCAATTAAAAATCCCTTTGTCCAATTCGTGGCCTAAAATATTGCTGCTGCCATAGTGACTATCAGGCTGTGGCATACTTTTGTATTAATGATTACAATAAAGTTGTCAACATGAACAAGCTTATAAGAAAATATTGCACTGCTGCATGTACTGCAACTACAAGAAGAATACATCCTTAGCCTAGCAATTATGGGTGCTCTATCCCACTGCTGTCTACTTAATTACAGAGGGCAAAGGAAGCACCAAATGATGAAAGTGTGGCAAGAGAGGTGAGTAAAATTAATCAGCATCCTCACGTCCACAAGACACTCACACCATCTTCATCTCAACAATCATCTATAATGACCTGTCTCCTCAAGAGTAAAGGCTTGTTCCATGTCAAAGGGACAGGGAGGGAGGGGCAATATTTCATGTTCAATTTAACTGTGTGGCTGCTGGTGTACCGTAGTTGGGCAGAATGTGTATAAAACTACCAGATATGACTGACAGTGACTGCCTACCCAATGGGATGTGTCAAGCACAAAATGAATTTTTTCGTAGTGCTGCAAGACTAGGCAATAAAATAGTTATAGCTACAAGAATGTGTTACAGTCCAGGAAACCTTTCCCCTAGCTCTACATTTACAACAACCCATCAGATAAGTGATCCTGCAAAGGGCAGGCTGTTCTCCTCACTATCTGCAGCTCTGTTTGGGGCACAGGAGATCAACACACTCTAATGGGTTCTGCTGGGAGCCTGCAATTATTCACCACAAATAGAACTGGATTTAAAGCATCTAATTTCTTTACTCAGCGCACTCTTATTTGGGTATCACTGCCGACTGCGATGAATAATGACACACGAGCTCACTAACACTCTCTCCAATTTAACTTGGAAATTGGTTGTGCATCATGGTCTTGATTAATTCGTCCCTTTGCGTTTGGTGTAAACATTGACCAATGGGTTTATTAAATGGCATATTGATGTATTATATCTTTCCAGATGGGGTCCTGATGTCTGGCTTTCCCATCAAAAGCTTAAGAGAACAGAAAATTGAACTCTTCATTACTGCTTACAGTCCTTTGGTTGTCATCTGTGCCAAGTTTAATCACAAGGAGAAGCATGCACATGCACCTGGGGAAATTGCTCTCCTTGCTCACTGAGAATTGCATGTCAAATGTTAGCTAATCAAAGCACACTCTTATCATGCCACAAGCTGTGCTCAGAATGATAATTTTCTAAACCAAAAACCCTAGTGAGTCCTGTTTCCCAAAAGAAACATATTACACAATGGAAACATGAGCTGAATTGGAATATTCATTGAAACATTAAGTCAACAAAGTGTGAAACTATGTTCTTGACTTAAAATGGTCCCTGTTAATCTACAAATCCCTTGATATCTTTCCTGTGCAAAGCTGCCATCATCCCTATGTTTAAGGACAGCTACATCCTCAGCATATTCACCTTCTGCATGCTGGATTATCACAAAATAAGTACCAGTTTACAGGTGATGGAATTGCCTATGGCATGCTAACACTGAACAGGGCTCGAAATACTGGGTGCATGTGCACCTTAGTGCACCCAAAATTGGAGCTGTGCACCCAATTTTTATCTGTGGGTGCACTGGTGCACCCAAATATTTTTGTAGGTATTTTTGTACATATCAAAATGTGTGTGTATAATATAATGTAGTGTACAGGACATTCTTAGCATCTGAGTGTCAGAAAAAATAATAAAATCCTTGTTGTGGTACTTGTTTAACATTCCAAAATTAGCTTCCATTTCAGATTCAAGCTCAGAAGAAGAGCAGTAAGATCTGTTTTGTTCCATATGGTGCACCCAAAAATGTTTTTGTGCACCTTATTTTTAGGTTGGGTACACCAGTGCACCTTTTCCCAAAAATTAATCGAGCCCTGCTGAAATATGCAACATGAATCTATATTCATCAATTACTGGTAGCTACTGCGTAGCATTACTTCAGTCATTTTGTCCTTAAAAGTTACAACACAATAAATATGGCAAGAACCACACCTAATTCATTGTCACCATTGATGCCAGCCTCTTCTTCTTCCTCCTCCTCTTCTTCCTCTACCACTGGAGGCTCCAGCATCATCAGACGGTTTTGCTGTGAAAAACACAACACATGTGAAAAAACATTCCCAAAAGATCCTGTCAAACATTGTTGACCATGGCTTTCCTGAAGTTGTGCTAGCTTTATATAGATTTTGAAAATCAAAGTCAGAAAAGTCATATTCTGCTTGATTGCAATTGGAAGAATGATTGGAGCAAGAGGAGGATTCCAGGCTACTCTCAACCAAGCGCCAACCTTGGTTGAGGAGTGGTTGGGAGTCATTGGAAGTGGTCAGGAGCAATGTCATTGGAAGGTTGTGAATGTCTGACAGGAGCTATATAAGCCTGTTAGAATTTTCCATGCTGTTGAGTTTTCTGTCATTGCCCTCATTGTCTCAAGGGTTTTGCTCTACCATCTAGGTGACTTGGTAACACATTTCCCCAAATCATCTGCAGATCTGCTGTAGTCTCACCTGAGCAGCACTCTCCTTCTCCAGGAAGTCCCTGTGCTTAACCACCAGACGTGATGTTCTGGACTGGATACCCTGGCCTCCCTTAGCTCTCCTCTTGCTGAGACGCACTCTGCACAGAAACAAAGAATTCATCAGCAATGTTACATCAACACTCATAATAAAGGCAAAACATCAAATTCTTTCAACCCTCCTTTATTACCTCCATGAAATGTGTCATGGAGGTTATATTTACCTCCATGAAATGTGTCATGGAGGTTATATTTTCAGTTGCGTTTATCTGTCCGTCTGTCCGTCTGTCCTTCTGTCCGTCTGTCTGTTGGTCAACAAGATAACTCAAGAACGCCTGGATGGATTGGTTTCATACTTGGTGTGTTGGTAGGGTGTGACGAAAACTGGAAATGATTAGATTTTGGTCCCCCTAGTGGCTTCCCTTGGTACTGCAGCGCAACTTCCGGTTTTGATATCTCGCGATCTGGACATGCTAGGGTCATAAAATTTTGATGGAAGGTAGCTCTCGTGCTTGGGAAGAAGTCACATGAGTTTGGGCCCCCTAGCGGCTTGTTCTGGAACTGCAGGGCACTTTCTGGCGAAATGTTTAAAAGCCAATAAGTCCAGACAGGAACGACATATTTTCATTATTTTTCGTGTGTAGGTAGCTGAGAGAGAGATGTACATAATTAAATGCAAATTATACAAATGAGGACTTTATTTGCATAATTAATGAGGAAATTCTATAATTACAGTGTTTTACATTATACTACTTACATACATGTAATGTATGTAACCTATGGCAGGCGGAACTTCAACAGATACTAATTATGCAAATGATGACCTAATTTGCATAATTAATGCGAAAATTATATGATTTCGTAATGGTGAATGATGAGAATGTCATACTTGGGACATCTGTAAGTTAATCAAAAGTTAACATACATCACGATGCATATATCATGTAATGCAGAGGTCATTTCCACAATTAAAGAAGAAATTTACAT